GTTATTTATTTTACATCTAGAGTTTCTAGAATGTTCGTTAAGCCTTTTCTCATCATAGTCGTTATCAAGAATAACCTTTTGTCCACATTTGCAAAATACTTCACGTTTATTAATAATAGCTGCACAAAATTTATTATCACTTAAGCGAGTTCGAGTATGCTTCCATTTCAACATTATAAAAGTAAAGTTTTAGTTTTTGTAAAAAAAACGCGTAGTTAGTTTCAAAATATATACTTCTGATCGTGAGAAAGGGTGAAAAAAAAAAAATACCAAAACAGGATAAATTTGCTAGAACGAATAATATGACTATGAGAAAATCCATTCAATTCGCCAAAACGTATAATATGACTATGAGAAAATTCATACAATTCGCCAAAACTAAAAATTATGACTACCCCTTAAATTTTCATGAATTCGCCAAAACTTAAATTTGGACATTAAGTTAAATTTGAGTTAATTCGCCAAAACTTAAATGTGACCTGTATATGTATTTTCCAGGATCCTTTTCCAGCTACCAAGTGATTACATAGGATAAAAATACCAAAATAAAATCTGTAACGTTTGTAATTGAAGTTGAAAAAAGTATTCCTCAATCCTCAGTCGTAATTCATAACCACGTGATAGTACTATATAAATTCTATCCAATAATTTTTTTTGAATAAGTTGTTGAATGTCAAGGAATCACATGTTGATGTGAAAAAAATGAGTCAACATTGTGCTCACTTGAAATTTGTCATTAGGAAAGCCAACTCGTGAAATTGTAGCTAATAATCATTTGTGTATATCTTTAGATGAATATCAAGTTGGCTGATGTCATATATCTTGTTAAAACCAGCCCGATTAGGTCTGGTCACATGAAATTTATTGAAGAAGCTGAGTCTTTAGGCAAAAACTCCTGTGTAGTAGTTGTAGAGTCTGCCCACATCTCTCTCGAAGGTTAAAAGGTTAAAATTATAAGAGGAAGCCTTTCCGTAGAGGCCACCCAGTGGTCTTCACTCCTCCTCCTCTTCAAAAAAAAATTTTTACAAAAATTTGGGTTTAATGCGGAATTCTAATAAAAAAAAAATGGTGTCCAGTGATGTTTAAGTGATCTTCCCCAGTATCGCCACAAAAATTTTCCACCTCTATGTGATCTTAAAAATTTGTTACTGGCGTCACACCCTTCCTGTTTTCCATTTTTACTATGTATTTCAGGGACTTTGATTTTTTTCAGTGTGTAAAATCCTATTTGACACGCTTTATTTGTCACATGCTTAATTTCTTAATGCTGGCCGAGACATATAATGCCGGCCAAAAAACGTGAGGTGGAAATTTTTTGTGGCGTTACTGGGGCAGAGACCTGGGAAAATTCCATTTTTATAATAAATGAATAAATCAGAATTTTTGCTATATTATGGAATAAAACGGAATTTTTATGATTTTTTACAGTTTTATTTTGACACATGACAACTAGCCAATAATTAAGCTTCTCCAGTAACACCAACAAAATTTCCACCCCAATATTCATCACCAGCATTACACCTCAGCACGTTTTCACTGTTTATATTTATCTGAGGGACTTAGGTTTTTTTTTGCCTCACAAATGTCACTTGTCACGTGGAGGTGGAAGTTTAATTATAAAATTGTTGGTGTTATAACGGTAAATCCAATAATTATTGCATATTTTATTGACTATATCGTTATAGAAGTCTCATTAAAAAATGTGCTTTTGCAATTTTTGCAATATCTATACAGTTTTTGGCTAAAATTATTGTCGTGTCACTAGCGCAACCTAAGTTGGCCTGCATTAATATGTAAACCGGCTAGAATTATCAAATGTTTCTTACTATAATTGGTAATTTTTTATCAGAATAAAATCGGAATTTTTTCCGTTATCGTGATAAAAATTTGCGATTTAATATCAGAATAAATCTGGGTCTCTGTACTGGGGTAAATGTAGCCGATCACGTGATTGACGAGATCGCGTTATTTAATACTGATCTCTGACAGGGACGATGATTTTCTGCTTTAAGCAGAAAATCACAGAATTGTTCAAAATGATAGCTCAAAGCAGATACCATAAAAATAACCGCAGATTATAGCAGATTTTAGAAAATAGATTGTATTACATATATTGTCCAATCAAATCTGTTAATCAAATCTATTTTTAATCTTTTTTTTTGAAGTATTTTTTTAAAAAATAGTAAATACTAGTTAAAAATGGTTAAGCATGAAAAAAAAGTAACTGTATATACTCGCGCAGCTGAACATCCAGGTCATTTTAAAGTTGTTGATGACGGTATTTTGCTTTGTATATATTGCAATTATGCTATTAAATGAGAAAAAAAATCAACAGTTGATGACCATATTCGTGGTCCTGTTCATTGTGCAAAAAAGGCAGCATATGAAAAAAAACAGAGAAATGGTGAAATACGACAACAAAGGACAATTACTTCAACAATTTCTATTGCTGATAGTAAAAAAGAATTAATTGAAGATTTAATTCAAGCTCTTGCTACTGCTAATATACCTTTAGAAAAAGTGAATTCTCTTATTCCTTTTTTTTGAAAAACATGTAAAACAAAAAGGTTTCATCCCTCAAGCACCTACATTACATCAAATGTACTTACCTCAAATCTTTGAAAACCATCTTACACAACTTAAACTTATGTTTGAAAGTAAGCCAGTAGCAATCACCATGGATGAAACTACAGATGATTGTGCTCGTAGTGTGGTGAATACTCTTTTTCACTTTCGCACAAATACCAAATTAGTTTCTGTGGATTTTTTAATTCAAGTTAATAATTCAACAATAGGATCAACTCTTCTTACAATTCTGACAAAATACAATATTCCTTTTTCTCTTCCACGTTTATTCATTTCAGATTCAGCCGCTTATATGAAGAAATGTTTTCATGAAGTGTTAAAACCTGTTATGCCACAACTGATTCATGCTCCTTGCTGTGCACACATATTGAACTTAATTGGGTAAGTAAAGTATTTTTGTTATAAATTAAATTATCTCAAAATAATTTTGTATAATATTTTAAATTTGTAGTGAAACATGGCAAAAATTTAATCCATTTGCTATTTTAAAAGAATTCTTGGCTAAAGTAAAAGAATGCTTTGTTCGTAGTCCAGCAAGAAGAGGTAGATATTTAACACACTTACGCAATTATGGTATATCTTCTACTTGTAAAATTACTCTTCCTACTTCTACAAGTTGGAATTCATGGTTTAAAATGGTTGAGTATACAAAAATACATATACTCTATTGGAATTCCTTTTTTCAGAATGAAATAACCAATGATTCAACAAATGAAACACTTAAAAATATTTTAAAAACTCTTTCTGATCCTTTCAAATTTGGTACAATTTCAGTTTATATTCATTTTATTTCTATATATGCAAGACAATTCATACAAGATACTGATTTTTTTCAGAAACAAAACAAGCCTATATTTCCATTTGTAGAGGGACGCCTTAATCATCTTTCTGCATTTTTAGAAAGTAATTGCAATTCTCAAGATTTTGGTCCAGATCTTGATAATACTATTATTTCACATTATTTTAACCCACCTGATTTTTATCCTGTTTTTCGTTTAGCTTTTGAAGCTGCTTTTAACAAATTTAATGCTCATATTCCTTCACATCCTACACGTTCACTTTTTTTGGCTGCCCAAATTTTTGATCCTAAATATATTTTACTTGGTCCATTGGAAAGAAAAAATTTACGTCAATATAGTGCTATTAGAGAATTAGCAAACCCTTCAGATGAATTACTTTGTGAATGGTCCATTTATTGTGGGTTGCAATTGGAAAATTCAGTTGGAGAAATTAATTTAGAAGAATATTGGATGAATTTTGGAGATAAATTACCAATTCTTTCAAAAATTGCACTTGATTATATTTGGTTACCTGTATCAAGCTGTAGTGTGGAAAGAAGTTTTTCAATTTATAATAATATTTTGGATGAAAATCGACAAAATCTTTCAGAGGATTCTTTGAAAGGATTAAATATGATGTATTTTAATGGAAACTAATTGTAAAGTCAAATAATAAATAAAATAAAATTTGATTTTAATAAAATTTTTTATAGCCGAAATGAGCAGAATTGCGAAATAAATGAGCAGAAAATGCGCCGAAATAATCATTTTAAGTCCGCAGAAGCAGGGCAGATCATAGGTTAAATCGCCGGCAGATTTTATAAAATTTCGCCGCAGAAATTCATCNGACTAATTAATAAAGTTGTATAAAAGATATATATTTGAATAATTTGGTTAAAAAAGGTTCGTTCAAAAAAAATTCAAAAAAGATTTCATTTATAAAAAAAAAATACTTTTTTCAAAATAATTTTTACGAAATCATTCCATAAAACTCTAGGAACCAATGACTACAAATCTCGCATACTTTAACGCACCGCCTGAGAGCTGGACCATTCACGGTTACTACAAATTTCGAAAACTACAAAGTGATTTTAGTGGCGTTTTCCGCAAAGAGAACTCCTGGCTGAATGACAATCTGAAGACCATCATAAATAACTTAGAGAGTAAATTTAGCCATCAAAAGGTAAAACGAGCACAGGAGCTACTTCATATTTTGAAGGTAGGCGCATTAGACTAGGAGTTTCACCATGACTAGGCAGGGTACCTTTTAGCTACCTTGTTGATGACCTTCAAGCTCGTTGTGGTGGAACAAATACCGGGCACCCTTTGGCTGCTCTGTTGACAGACCTTTCAGCTCTGTTGACGAATCAATCCACGACTAGGCAGGGCACCTTTCAGCTGTCCTGTTGACGACTTTTCAGCTCGTCGTGAAATATTGTATATGTTGTTATGTGTTTATGTGTCAAGATCATGATGCGCTATGTATATTGTTTTTTCATTAGAACCAAATGTCCGACGCAAACGTCGCCGTCTTTTGGAAAGAGGTCGATCACGAAAGGGAACTGAATATCGTGCGGGTAAGTGAATGTATTATTTCATTGTGTGGTTTGCAGAGACTAATATATAGCTTTTTTTTTTGATTCTGATACAAGAATGAAGGGAGGTTACAATCCGTTAAAGTGACAACAGATGGAGTCTTAAACGCAATCAGGACAACAAATGAAATACACCAACATAATCTCTTATCTTTGCTCCCGGCGGGATATAGTCCAAAAATTGGCTTGAATTCAGATGAACAGAATACAAAGTCAGATTTCTCGTCCGAATATACTCCGTCTACACTGTTAGATTCCTCATCCGAATATACTCCTTCGTAGGTTTACTTTATCAGTTATGTATTTCCTTTTATAATTTACAAATTTGTCATTAAATTCTTTCGCACGTATTTTTAGTGATGAATCAGGGGAAGACGATGTTATTTTAGTAAAGATGTAAAGATTAAAAAAGTAAATGTTTTTTAACGTTAGATCTCTGAATTTATCATGCATAAAATAATTTTTTTATTTTGGCCTTTAGAGAACAGATCTCCACCAAAAAGAATCAAATTGTAGTTCACCAGCGAAACCTGAGAATACTGAGCTGAATGAAAAATACAGTGATGAATCGTTCGACAAGAACGAGAGAACGGCCAGTTTGAGAAAGAGTCAAATCATAGTGATCATGCCCTAGGAAAAAGACAAAATACAAGTCATCATGAGGAAGGAAGAATTCCAAAAAAGCAGCACAAAGACAAGTATACTACGCCATCATGCGAAGCAGTATATAAAGACAAATGGAATCTTCAATGGGTATTGACGACCAATTCTTCTCCGAGGAAATTAACATTATATCAATTGATGATATCCCATGCGAACTGTCCTTTGTGAATGAAAATCTGGTAGATGATTTTAAAATAAAAGAAATTAACGTGTCTATGTTATTTAGGCAATATCAAAATAATCCGTAACAACCAACATTAAATTTGGAGAGCGAATTAAAGTTTAGGGAAGTGATCAAGCGAGCAATAAAAGAGTCATGGAGCAGTGTTAAAAAATGGTGGTTAACAGAGCTTGCAAACGATCAAACTTTGGATGAAAACTTAGGTTTCGTGATCTTGGAATGTTTGAAATCATTACCTACCGCAAAAATCAAAAATGAACCCAGTGAAACAACCTTGATCACAAACTATTTAGATCACGTCATGAAAGGAATGCTACATGATCCAAATAAATATATCGTGGAATGGCCAAACACTGGACTTGATGAAAGCAAGGCAAGGAAATCAGGAAGAAGCAAACAGCCGGACTTTGTAGTATCTGTTATCCACCAGTTACAGACAAGCGGTGTTATATTTGTGGGCGAAGTCAGTCCACCTTCAGAAAAGAACAATGTATATAAGAACTGTAATGATCTAATTCGAATTGGTGTTTTTATGAAGGATTGTCTCGACTCAGCCATAGACTTGGGTGCTGACATAAAGACGTTAGGCTTTCAATGCGTTGGTAATACAAATTATAATAGTTTCTTTTTTTCTCGTGATTTTTGTGTATAAATAACCCTTTAACTTCGTAGACTATACAGTGGATTTCTACATGATGGATATTGTTCAAGGAACATATATTATGATCCACATCGGCCAAATATCAGTTCCAGCTTCAGTAAAAGAAATGTTACATTTTGTTGATGAAATAGAAATACTCCTGAAAATACGAGAAATCTTTTGCAAATCTTTTGATTAATTATATGCTAAACTCTGTAATCCAAATGATCCAAGTTTACCATCAACAAAAGCAAGCTTCAAACATGACACTTGGAACACCCAAATTTAAACAGCTTGTGAGTAAGACACGAGATTGTCATAGAATATGTCCATTTCGGTATGGAAGATTTGATTCCAAAAAATGATTGTTAGATTTTAGCAGCTTGTTTGAACCGATCATTATATTTTTTTTTTTCCTGCAATTTACGAAAATATTGTAATCTAATTACCTAGATATTCTAAATATTTCAATAAAGTTTGTCTTTATCATGTATACTGCATGCAAAATGTGCATCGAAAAAAAAATGCTTATATATAGTTATATACAGTCATATTGCAAAGTGATCGGCATTCCGAAACAGAACGTGATTTCAGAGATAGCGAGCATGATTCTAATATAACAGCTAAAAATTAAATCTTATGTATCACAAAATATTCCCGATTCTTGTATTTCATTCTTTGCATGGTGGGTGGTCCAAACCCTTTTGGGGTCTAGTAAGATACCATACACCGTCTCACCACTCAAATTAATAAACTAATTATTTTTTCTTTTATATGAACTTTATAAAAATACTTTAGTAAAGGTGGAGTATATAAAAATAACAAATTTTATAGTTGGTGAAGTTTTATTTGTTAAAATCGCATTCATATGATTGATTAATAAGGTGGTAAACCATATTTTGCTAAATCAAAGTTTTCTAAAGAAGGAATCACTTCGACTATACCACTAACATTTGAATGTAATTCTCTTATACTAGGATTTGAAACCCAAATAACCTAAAAAAAGTTGTTAAAGCAAGGTATTTACAAATTTTATCAAAAATAAACTTACATTCATGGATTCCATTAATTGCATCTTCGATGATTTAAAGACGGGCTATTAAATTTTTCCAAGAAAGAAATAAATCTGATGCGGGTTTGCCATTTTTGACATCTGGATCATCTCCACAAATGATACTATCAAACATTTTGAAGAGATCCTGATTGTTGTAAGACTTGAGCTTGTTGCAACCTATATAAATATTTAATTGAATATGCTCTAAGTTGCATAATTTGCCAAATCACTAGAAACTTACTGCTATATGAATTTTATTTTTTTACAAATGCGTATTATTTCAAAATTCATTTTGTTATTTAATTCAGAATAGGTTTGTATTATCAGTATTATTGCCATTAAGATAGCATGATAACTGTATTATTTGTTTTATTTATAGCATTAACAGCGGTAAAAACAATACAGTCAATGAATACAGTACTATACGCACCTGCTAGCGTTTTTTGGTATTCATATGCATATAAAAACAACAATTTAATTTCAATTCTGATTATATTAACACTTAATACAATTCAAATTAAACCTCTATAAAAGGTAGACAATTTTTGAAAGTTTTTTTTAAAATAAAGATGCCATCAAACGTAGATTGCGATATAGGAAAATCTGGAAATTCGGTATCTTGTAGTAATAAAACAAAATTATTTGAACCTTTTGATTTAAAATGTTCAATTCAAACGTGCAAAATAAGTAAAAAGCATACTCATCGTTTATGTGTGGATTGTGAAAAACTATTTAATGAAAGGAAAAGGCAGTTAATATTAAGGTGAATATTAGTATTGAACAAGTATCATTAAAGAAGGATAACAAGAATAACTAATTCATTTTATTTAAGTCATAATATGGGTATTTCGCTTGAACGATAAATAACTTTATCAATTAATTTGGTTTAATGATGACATTAAGCAAAATATGAACTTTTATAACAGTAACAATACAGTTGAGATAATAACTGATAATATAGATGATAAATTTTATTAAAAAATTTCATTGTTTATTAAAAATTTACATATTTAGCGTGTATTTCACGACTATTTCGCGTATTTATTCGTCTATTAAAGCTTAATATAATAGTATTCCAAGTGTTGAAATAAAGAAAAATATATTTTAAAAAAATTATATGTTTTTTTTTCCTTCCCGTGCCGATTGTTTTGATAAATCCGAACTGTGGACATTTGTTACAGTATAATAAAAATCAATTATAGAGATTACTCTACCCTTAGATAAAATAATTGCATCTATGGGAAGATTTTTTTCTGATGATATATTTAAGTATAAGGTTGCATATAGCTTTAATCAATGATTTTAATCAGATTTGAAACGAAAATTTGATAGTAAATATATATATATGATTAATTTTCATTTTTAAAAAAGTTTTATTTATACGTAGTTCAATACAATTTCAGTGTGATAATATTACGTCATTATATAGTACGATATTATATATACTGCGGTAGTTAAGTAAATTTTTTATCGGACGATAACAAAATCTTTATTTATTGTTGTATAAAAGAACCATAAATCATATCAGCAAAATCAATTCAATAATAAGTGACACTGCAAAAATACTGATAAAGTACTGCAAAATTTAGATATTACAGTATAACCACAAAAATATTGAAAAATAATATAGAAAACACCACGAAGATAATGAAGAAAGCATCACGAAAGTAATGAAAGAAACATCGCGAAAATATAATAACAAGGAAAACTAGTGTTAGTGTTATTTCGAAAGCAAAATAACAAAAATAACAAAACATATAAGAAAAGAAATACCTTGACAAGAAAGTTATTTCAAAATTATTTATCCCCACATTGAGGAAAGTTTGGCGAACCAGGATGACAGGGAAACTCTAAAAATATTATAATTTGTAAAGAAATTAAACTGTAGCAAAATAATATAAATTATTATTTAACTACTAACTTTGGGCTGATGAAATAGTAATAACAATCGCAAAAATAGTAAAAATAGCTCTGATCTTCATTTTTTCAATTGTTTTGAAGCGGTTTAGATTTTATATTTGAATTTAATAAATAAATTGACAAATTTCTAGACGAAATTATTTATTTTCAATGAATATTGTGGCAAAGTACTTGACATCATTCAATCATAATCAAATAAGCCACATTAGAGTTGAAAACCTATGGCAAGCGGTAGTGGTCAAAAGTGCGTGGCAAAACATAACGTGTACACGCTATGTTTTGTAGTTATATTTCACGGCGGGTTACCCCTGTTCTGTTGGGTTACCCTGTCAATTTCAGGGGTAACCCGCCATAAAAAGCAACGTGTATACGACGTGTATGCGCTTTATATTATAACGGTTTATTGACCAAATTTTAAATTATTAAGGGATCGAATACCCGCCGTTTCAAATATCAGGTACCCGCCGTTTCACATATCGGGTACCCGCCATTTAATTTTTTTTTTTTTTTTATTGGCTTTTTTTTTATAAACAAATTTTGTAGAGAATTTTTATTTTTAATATAGGTAAAGGC